TGGCTCAACAGTAGTAACTGTGAGAGGGATCTTGGAGTCCTAGTGGACAATCACTTAAATAGGAGCCAGCCGTGTGCTGCAGCTGCCAAAAAGGCCAATACAGTGCTGGGCTGCATTAACAGAGGGAGAGAATCAAGATCACTTAAAGTGTTAATACCACTTTACAAGGCCTTGGTAAGGCCACACTTGGAATCCTGCATCCAGTTTTGGTCACCACGATGTAAAAAAGATGTTGAGACTCTAGAAAGAGTACAGAGAAGAGCAACAAAGATGATCAGGGGACTGGAGGCTGAAACATATAAGGAACAGTTGCTGGAATTGGGTATGTCTAGTTTAATGAAGAGAAGCACGAGGGGGGACATGATAGCAGTGTTCCAATATTTCAGGGGCTGCCCCAAAGAAGAGGGAGTCAAGCTATTCTCCAAAGCCCCTGAAGGCAGGACAAGAAGAAACAGATGGAAACTAATCAAGGAGAGAAGCAACCTAGAACTAAGGAGAAATTTCCCGACAATTAGAACAATTAACCAGTGGAACGGTTTCTCTCCAGAAATTGTGAATGCTCCAACACTGGACGTTTTTAAGAAGAGTCTGGATAACCATTTGGCTGAAATGGTGTAGCCAAAGCAGGGGGTTGGACTAGAAGACCTTCAAGGTCACTTCCAACTCTGTCATTCTATATTCTATTCTGTTCTGTTTTGTTCTGTTCTATTCGTTACAAGAAATTAAATTGAAGGAGAGGGAACTCCAGAACTTGCCAGAGGATTCTAACATACTTAATCAACTAAAAATATTGCAACCACAACTTTCCTTGCCAACTGTTTTAGATTTTGAAAAGAAACTTAAATATACAAAATGACACTTTTTTGAACATGCAAATAAACCAGGGAGATGGTTGGCATGCAAACTAAGAAAACAGACAGAAAAGAAGATGATAACCAAGCTTCAAGAGAGAAATGAGACTTGCATGAATAACAAAACTTTTCAAAGACTTTTTTGGAATTATTATACTAATGTACCGTATTTTCCGGCGTATAAGATGACTTTCTAAACCATGCAAATCGTCTCCGGTTGGGGGTCGTCTTATACACAGAGTCGTCTTATACGCCAGAAAATACGGTATATAAAGAACAAGAAATGTCTTCAGACACTACTGAGGAGTATACAACAACTAAAAATCTTCCTAAATTATCGGAAAATTGCAAGCAAATTTTGAACAGTCCAATAACAACTTTTGAAAGCATAGAAGCAATTACAGGAGCTAAAACAGGCAAAGCCGAGGTGGCGCAGCAGTTAGAGTGCAGTACTGCAGGCCCCTTTAGCTGACTGTGTTCAAATATTGTGGGCACCTGTGGCCCCACTCGCGTGAAGGTTGCAGGCACTTGGGGCCTCACTCACACAAGGGTCGTGGGCACTTGCAGCCCCACTTGCATGGGCACTTGTCACCCCACTTGTATGAGCGCTCAGGGATTAACTTGCTCAGGGATTAACTTGCTCGTACGAGCGTTGCAGATGCTCGGTGCCTCACTCGTGCGAGCGTCACAGGGGTGCTTGGCCCCCCTCACACTAGCAACATGCACTCACGTACATACATGCATGCACTCGCAGCTGCCCCTCCCACTAAACAGAGCCGAGGTGGCGCAGCAGTTAGAGTGCAGTACTGCAGGCCACTTTAGCTGACTGTGTTCAGCAGGTCAGCGGTTCAAATCTCACCGGCTCAAGGTTGACTCAGCCTTCCATCCTTCCGGGGTAGGTAAAATGAGGACCCAGATTGTTGGGGGCAATGTAAATATATATATACATTGCTTACTGGTGTACACCGCTTAGAGAGTGCTTGCACTTAAAGCGGTGTATAAGTCTCATAAATAAATAAAGCTCTGGGACCAAATGGCCAATACAGTGGATTCTATAAATTTTTTGAAGATCGATTACTTCTTCCAATGAAGGACTTAATGAATTCTGTTTTACAAGGGAACCCCAGTATGCCAGACTCTTGGAAGGTTGCCTACATTTCTTTAATACTTTCCAAAGATGCACTGGATTTAACGTCTGTGAAGAACTACAGGCCAATCTCTCTCCTTAATAACCACTACAAAACTCTTTACATCTACGGACAAGTCAGTTGAAAAACAGTTTGTGCTGCTATTACTTCACATAGTGTCGGCTGTGAGGATTATAATTGCCAAACGCTGGAAAGAAAAAGAGAGGCCGACCGTTGAAGAATGGATTTTGAAATTGACGGAATTTAGCAGAGATTGTGAAACTAACCGCTTTGGTTAGAGATAATGGACTAGACCAGGGGTGGGCAACCTTGGCTCTTTTATGACTCGTGGACTTCAACTCCCAGAATTCCTGAGCCCGCCATGCTGAGGGGAAAGGGAGAGGTTTCCAAGCTGAGACATGCTGGCTGAGGAATTCTGGGAGTTGAAGTCCACGAGTCAGAAAGTGGCCGAGGCCTAGGCCAGAGGTAGGCAACCCTGGCTCTTTTATGACTTGTGGACTTCAACTCCCAGAATTCCTGAGCCAGCATGGGGGAACTATGGCCCCTTCATGACTCGTGGACTTCAGCTCCCAGAATTCCTCAGCCAGCATGGGGGAAACTTTGGCCCCTTCATGACTTGTGGACTTCAACTCCCAGAATTCCTGAGCCAGCCATGCTGAGGGGAAAGGGAGAGGTTTCCAAGCTGAGCCGTGCTGGCTCAGGAATTCTGGGAGTTGAAGTCCACAAGTCAGAAAGCGGCCGAGGCCTAGGCCAGAGGTAGGCAACCCTGGCTCTTTTATGACTTGTGGACTTCAACTCCCAGAATTCCTAAGCCAGTATGGGGGAACTATGGCCCCTTCATGACTTGTGGACTTCAACTCCCAGAATTCCTAAGCCAGTATGGGGGAACTATGGCCCCTTCATGACTTGTGGACTTCAACTCCCAGAATTCCAAAGCCAGTATGGGGGAAATATGGCCCCTTCATGACTTGTGGACTTCAACTCCCAGAATTCCTAAGCCAGTATGGGGGAACTATGGCCCCTTCATGACTTGTGGACTTCAACTCCCAGAACTGCTGAGCCAGCATGGGGGAACTATGGTCCCTTCATGACTTGTGGACTTCAACTCCCAGAATTCCTGAGCCAGCCACACTGAGGGGAAAGTGAGAGGTTTCCAAGCTGAGCCATGCTGGCTCAGGAATTCTGGGAGTTGAAGTCCACAAGTCATATAAAGGCCAAGGTTGCCTCCCTCTGGACTAGACAGCTATATAAGAGACTGGAAACCGTTTGTGGACTTTCTATGCACTAAATATAACAGGTGATTAACAGAAAGATTTGAAGATTAGTGCAATGCTTAGTTCAACCTCCTGACTGCTATTTCTTCTCTTTTTATTTTATATACAGGTAATCCTCTACTTACTTAGTGACCGTTCAAAGTTATAATGGCACTGAAAAAAGTGACTTATGGCCATTTTTCACACTTATGACCGTTGAAGCATCCCCATGATCATGTGATGTAAACTCCCTCACATGAAACTTCCTTTAGTGACCTTCTGACAAGCAAAGTCAATGGGGGAAGCCGGATTCGCTTAACAACCTTGTTACTCATTTAACAACTGCAGTGATTCACTTAACAAATGTGGCAAGAAAAATCGTAAAGTGGGGCAGAACTCACTTCACAAATTTCTCACTTAGCAACATAAATTCTGGGCTCAATTGTGGTTACAGGACTGCCTGTATGCATACATTTGTTAAAAGGAGAGAATTTATTGGGTTTTTTTTTCTTTTCTTTTGGCACTCAACCAAGGCGGATCCTGCATGTTAAATGTTAAATTTAATTGACTCCTTTTTCCTCCTTTTTGCGCCACAATTTTTTCCCCTTTCTTGTTGTTGTGGTTAGGGCTGAATGTACATTATTGCATTTTGTTTGTTTGGTTTAGGATAAAATAATAAAAGTTGCAAAAGGTGATTACAGGATGTTGGGACACAGCAACAGCCCTAACGAACCAATTGCCAATCATCCGAATTTTGATCACACGATCACGGGGCTGTTACAAAGGTTGCAAGTGCGAAATCAGATCATAAGTCATTTTTTTTCAGTGCCGTTTGAACAGTCACTAAATGAACTGTTGTGAGTCGAGGACTAACTGCATATTCATTTACTGCTATTTCAGATGTGAGGCTTACTCTTCCACATTTCCCCACCTGCTCCTGAGTCTTCTAGATCAGTGGTTCTCAACCTTTTTAATGCCGCGACCCCCCAACCGGTCGTAAGTTGAGGACTACTCAACCGGTCGTAAGTCGAGGACTACTCAACTGGTGCAGCACCGTTTGCAGAATGGGACTTTTGGCCAGCTCAGCAGGGCAGAGACAGCCTGGACAATTCCTATTGGCTTTGGAAAGCCAATAGAATTAGACTCTATTCAAGAGAGTCTATTCTATTGGCTTTCAAAAGCCAATAGAATAAAAGGGAGCAGCACAGCTAAGGAAAAGGGGGGAAAAAATGGCGGACTGCGTTGTTTGGCGACCCCCGTGAAATGGTCGTTCGACCCCAAATGGGGTCCCGACCCACAGGTTGAGAACCGCTGTTCTAGATATATCACCAATTTCTTTCTTTCAAAAAATATCTGACCAAAAAATAAAGTTTTATTCACTCCTGCATCTCCTTGGTGCCCTAGGTTCATGTTTCTCAACCTTGGAGACTTAGACTTCCACTCCCAGCATCCCCCGAGCCAGCATTCTGGGACCTTTCCCTGACCTCCATGAGGGCTAGCACCTTGGGATGCCTGTGAGGCCCAAGCCTCAGGGACCCAGCGGGGAAATAGAACGCCCGGCGGTCGCTATAGCAACGTAGAGCCCCGGCCCGGCAAGCCTTGCGGGCGGTTCGCCCTCCGGTCGCCGTGGCAACGTAGAGCCCCACCCGGCAAGCCTCGCGGGCGGTTGGCTCGCCGGTCGCCATGGCGACACTGGAGCCCCCGGCCCGGCAAGCCTTGCGGGCGGTTCGCCCTCCGGTCGCCATGGCAACCCAGAGGCCCTGCCCGCCAGGCCTCGCAGGCGGGCCTCCGCCGCCGCCGCCGCCGCCGCTGCCGCCCCGCCTCAAGCCGGCGGGAAGGCGGGGTCAGCTGGCCCGAAGGTCCCTGAAGAAGAGCGGATGCGGCGGCGGGCGCTTCCTTTCCTCCTCGCTCGGCCCTCCGACCGGCCATGGCTCCCGCCGGCGACCGCGCCGGCTACTGGGGCCCGCCGACGTCCACCCTCGACTGGTGCGAGGAGAACTACGTCGTTTCCTCCTACATCGCCGAGTTCTGTGAGTGAGGCGGCGGCGGCGGCTGCGGAGAGGGGGGGGTCGCTTTCCCTCGTGGACTCCCCCCCAACCCCTTCCCCGTGGAAGTGGGGTGATGGAGGGGGTCCCCCAAGAAGTGCTTGACGGGAGGGGGGAAAGAGCGGCCTAGTCCCCCCCCCTTCACCCTTGAAGGGTTGCATCTTTGCAAGGGGGGGAAGAGACAAAGGGGGGGGGCTTTTGCAGAAGTCACCCGCCCCGAGGTTATTTCTGGGAGGTTGGTGCAGGTTCCTTGGCTCTTTTGTGACTCGTGGACTTCAACTCCCAGAATTCCTGAGCCAGCCGTGCTGAGGGGAAAGGGAGGGGTTTCCATGCTGAGCCATGCTGGCTCAGGAATTCTAGGAGTTGAAGTCCACGAGTCATGAAGGGGCCATAGTTCCCCCATGCTGGCTCAGGAATTCTGGGAGTTGAAGTCCACCAGCCATAGTTCCCCGATGCTGAGGACTTCTGGGAGTTGAAGCCCACAAATCATGAAGGGGGCATAGTTCCCCCATGCTGGCTCAGGAATTCTAGGAGTTGAAGTCCACGAGTCATGAAGGGGCCATAGTTCCCCCATGCTGGCTCAGGAATTCTGGGAGTTGAAGTCCACCAGCCATAGTTCCCCGATGCTGAGGAATTCTGGGAGTTGAAGCCCACAAATCATGAAGGGGGCATAGTTCCCCCATGCTGGCTCAGGAATTCTAGGAGTTGAAGTCCACGAGTCATGAAGGGGCCATAGTTCCCCCATGCTGGCTCAGGAATTCTGGGAGTTGAAGTCCACCAGCCATAGTTCCCCGATGCTGAGGAATTCTGGGAGTTGAAGCCCACAAATCATGAAGGGGGCATAGTTCCCCCATGCTGGCTCAGGAATTCTGGGAGTTGAAGTCCACAAATCATGAAGAGGCTATAGTTTCCCCATGCTGGCTCAGGAATTCTGGGAGTTGAAGTCCACCAGTCATAAAAGAGCCAAGGTTGTCTCCCCCTGTTTAGGGGGTTCCTTCCCCCCCCCCAATTGCAGATCTTTCCCTCCTTCCCCCCCCCACCTACTCCATTGTGGAAGACTGGAGCTGGGAGGGGGGAAATCTTTGGAAAAGGCTGGGGGCACTAATGAGAGAAGTAACAGAGTCGGAAAGGGACCGTGGAGGTCTTCTAGTCCAGCCCCCTGCTGAAGCAGGAAACCCTAAACCAGTGGTTCTCAACCTTTTTAATGCTGCGACCCCCCCCCCAACCGGTCGTAAGTCGAGGACTACTCAACCGGTCGTAAGTCGAGGACTACTCAACTGGTGCAGCACCGTTTGCAGAATGGGACTTTTGGCGGGCTCAGCAGGGCAGAGACAGCTTGGACAATTCCTATTGGCTTTTAAAAGCCAATACAATTAGATTCTATTCAAGAGAGTCTATTCTATTGGCTTTCAAAAGCCAATAGAATAAAAGGGAGTAGCACAGCTAAGGAAAAAGGGGGGGGGGGAAATGGCGGACTGCGTTGTTTGGCGACCCCCGTGAAATGGTCGTTCGACCCCAAATGGGGTCCCGACCCACAGGTTGAGAACCACCGCCCTAAACCATTTCAGGCAAGTGGTTGGTTGTCCAAGTCTCTTCTTAAAAATAACTTCAGTAATGGAGCACCCACAAGTTCTGGAGGCAAAGTGGTTCAGAATCACTGTGTTGGGAGGGACCTTGGAGGTCATCTAGCCCAACCCCCTGCTCAAGCAGGAGAGACCCTGTACCATTCTGGACAAATGGCTATTAAATCTCTTCTTCAAAGCCTCCAGTGATGGGAGCCTCCACAAACTCTGGAGGTACGTTATGCAGAATAACTGAGTTGGAAGGGACCTTGGAGGTCATGTAGTCCAACCCCCTGCTGAAGCAGGAGACTAGGTGCCACTCTGGACAAATGATTATTAAATCTCTTTTTCAAACCCTCCAATGATGAAGCATCCACAACTAGAGACGAGTTCTTCAGAATAACAGGATAACAGCTGGAAGGGACCTTGGAGGTCTTCTAATCCAACCCAGTTTCTGTGGCAGGAGATCCTACACCATTTCAGACAAGTACTTGTTCAATCTTTTCTTAAAAACCTCCAGTGATGGAGCACCCACAACTTCTATCCACTGGTTAATTGTTCTCACCTTAATTTCTAAGTTGGAGCTTTCCTTGATGAGTTTCCATCTGTTGTTTCTTGTCCTGCCTTCAGGTGCTTTGGAGAACAGGTTGACTCTCCTCTAGGTAAGGGATTATCTGGGGGTGCGTGCCTCCTCCTAATAGTCATAGAAATTAATCAGTGGAACAGCCTGCCTCCAGAACCAGTAAATGCTCCAACACTGGAAGTTTTTAAGAAGAGACTGGACAGCCACTTGTCTGAAATGGTGTAGGGCAGTGTTTCTCAACCTTGACCATTTTAAGGCATGTGGACTTCAACTCCCAGAATTCCACAGCCAGCATTGCTGGCTGTGGAATTCTGGGAGTTGAAGTCCACATGCCTTAAAATGGTCAAGGTTGAGAAACACTGGTGTAGGGTTTCCTGCCCGAGCAGGGGGTTGGACTAGATGACCTCCAAGGTCCCTTCCAACTTTACTACTATTATTATTATTAAATGGATGGCAGGGAGGAAGGGTTTGTTTGTTGTAGCTTAAAGTTGAATTGTGGAGTCCTTGCTGCTGTCTGGGTTGTTTTCTTCCATGATGTTTCATCAGATGTCAAACAATCAGTCAGAATAGAGCTGGAAGGGATCTTGAACGTCTTCTAGTCCAGGGCTTTTCAACCTTTTCACCCATTGTACCACTTTTAGGAGATGGCAACATCCGAGGACCACCAGTCGCCTAGCAAGGTGTCAAAAACTTGAGGACAAAAAAAAAGGGGGGGAAAAGTGATAAAGTACAGGTAGCCCTTGACTTACAACAGTTCGCTTAGTGACTCTTAGAAGTTACAATGGCACTGAAAAAAGTGCCCCCCAAGCCACAGCTGGAGCAAGACACCTGCCTGCCTGCCCAGCAGCGCTCTTCCTCCTGGCTGAGGTTTTCATTGTTGTGAGCATTTCTGTTGAGGATTGGCAGCGGAGCTGGGCTGGGGGGTGTTTGGTTTTTATTCCCCCCCCCCCATCTGCTGGGTGGTTGCAGCAGGTTTTGGTCACTTCACATGATCCTGGGACACTGTGACCGTCATAAATATATATGAATCAGTTGCCAAGCATCTGAATGTAAATCACAAGACCCTGGAGATGCTGCAACATTCCAGCTGATCGGTGCTTCTTCAGGGCTCAGCAGAAGTGTCAGGATTAGTGCTGCTTTCCAACTGATTGGTGCTTCTTCAGGGCTCAGCAGAAGCACCAGGATCAGCGCCAAGCTCCAGGTGGAGCCTGGCGCTGATCCTGGCGTTTCTGCTGAGCCCTGACAGCCCTGCAGCTCCAGCCGTCTCTCGCTCAGGCTTGTGCGGTGCTGCCACCAGTTCAGCTCATTCCCCCACTACCACTTTTCTAGGATGGTCGTGTACCACCTGCCAGGTGCCAATGTACCACAGGTGGTACCCGTACCACTGGTTGAAAAGCCCTGCTCTAGAAGGGGTAACCCTGAACCCATTTGGGAGAAGAGGCTTGGGGACTGAAGGGGTGACTTGGGTGCTTAAAATTTCTGCAGGCCTCAGGCCACTCGTCCTGTTTAAAAAAAAAAGAAGAAGAATGAGGCGTTCCTCAGGTTGAACTTGACTCCTGGCAGCTTCGTATCGGCACCTGTGTCATTTTCTTGGCATCTGTGCTGCCTTCTTCCCAGAGGTATTCTTGTGCTCCTCACCTGTAGATTTCCTAGTAGTCCCTCATCCCATCCATCCAAGTCTCTTACTTTGTTTTAGCATTAGTCAAGTCCTGCTACTGCTACCCCTTAACGCCTCCCAGTGCTCTGAAAGAAGAATAAAAAGATGGAAAAGTTTGAACCCTATGTGTGGGCTGGAGAGAGGATACTTCCAGTTATGGACTTTTTTTTTTATAGTACAGCTTTAAAAAAAGGAAGGTAATAATGGTAAGGCCTTATTACATGTCTATACTATAATTGGACCATTGCATTATACAGAGAGCTGATTTTCTGATTAAAATTTACAAATGGGGCAGATGATCCCAGCAATCAAAAACTCAAGTTTCGTATCCCACAATATATGCAAGACTCTCCTAGCGACTTCTGGAATTATAAAATGTTTTTTTCTATAGGTCAGACGTGGGTGGGAAAAACCTTTTAATTTCTAATGCAGTCCAGGAGCTGAGATTTTTGCAAAAGAATACTGAATTAAACAAAGCTTGAGCAAATGCTGCCAGACTAGTCTGTGCCCTACAGTTGTGCATTAAGAAAATTCTGCTGATGCATTTTGACTTTTAAACCTTGCTGAACTACCCCCAAAATTAGCAAACTGGTTAAGCATATTAAAGGCAACTTACTCTTGCAAATATCAGAAAGAGTGTGATGGGCGTGCATTTTACTAACCACGTCAAATTTCGTAAAGCGTACTCCGTAGAAGCCTGTCTTTTAATAAAACACAGGTAATTCTCAACTTACGACTACATTCCTGTTGCTAAACGAGACAGTTAAGTGAGTTTTTCTCCCCATTTGATGACCTTTCTTGCCACAGTTGTTAAGTGAATCACTGCCGTTGATAAGTTAGTAACCCGGTTGTTAAGTGAAGCTGGCTTCCCCCATTGATTTTGCTTGTCAGAAGGTTGCAAAAGGGGATTGCGTGACTCCCCCCCCGGGGACACTTCAACTGTCGTAAATATGAACCAGTTGCCAAGCACCCGAATTTTGATCATGTGACCAGGGGGATGCTGCAACGGTTGTAACCAAAAAATGGTCATAAGTCACATTTTTCAGTGCTGTTGTAACTTCGAATGGTCACTAAACGAACTATAATAATAATAGTAGTAGTAGTAGTAGTAGTAGTAGTAGTAGTAGTAGTAGTAGTAGTAGTAATAGTAACAATAATGTTGGAAGGGACCTTGGAGGTCATC